TGTGCACCAAAGATTAATTCTGCGCACCCAGGATTTATCCTGTGCTCCCATGGTTTATCTTGTGCACCCAGGGTTCATTCTGAGTACCCAGAATTCATCTGTGCACCAAATGTTTACCCTGTGCACCCAGGGTTCATCATGTGCTCCCAGAGTTTATCTTGTGCACCCTGGGTTCATTCTGTGCACCCAGGATTATCCTGTACACCCAGGGTTTATCCTGTGCCCCCAATGTTTGTCCTCTGAGCCCTGGGTTCATCATGTTAATTAAACCAGGGTTCATCCTGAGCACCCGGTGTTCATCCTGTACTCCCAGGGTACCTTCTGTTCACCGAGGGCTCATCCTGTGAACTCCAGGGTTCATCATGCGCACCCTGGGTTCATCATGTGCACCCAGGGTTAATCCTGTGTACCCAGGGTTCATCCTGAGTATCCAGGGTTTACCTTGTGCTCCCAGGGTTCATCCCTAGGGTTCATCTTGAGTTCCCAGAGTTCTTCCTGTGTACACTGGGTTCATCCTGTGCCCCCAGAAATCATCCTGTGCACCCATGGTTTTTCCTGTGTACCCAGGGTTCATCCTGTGCCCCCAGGGTTCATCCTGTGTACCCAGGGTTCATCCTGTGTACCCAGGGCTCATCCTGTGTACCCAGGATTCATCCTGTGCAACCAGGGTTCATAATGTGCACCTGGGGTTCATCCTGTGTACCTTGGGTTCATCTTTGGTACCCAGGGTTCATCCTCTGCACCCAGGGTTCATCTTGTGCACCCAGGGTTCATCTTGTGCACCCAGGGTTCATCCTTTGCTCCCAGGGTTCATCCTCTGAACCCAGGGTTCATCTTGTTTACCCAGGGTTCATCCTCTGCACCCAGGGTTCATCTTGTGCACCCAGGGTTCATCTTGTGCACCCAGGGTTCATCCTTTGCTCCCAGGGTTCATCCTCTGAACCCAGGGTTCATCTTGTTTACCCAGGGTTCATCCTCTGCACCCAGGGTTTCATCTTGTGCACCCAGGGTTCATCTTGTGCACCCAGGGTTCATCCTTTGCTCCCAGGGTTCATCCTCTGAACCCAGGGTTCATCTTGTTTACCCAGGGTTCATCCTGTGCACCCAGGGTTTATCCTGTGCGCCGAGGACTCATCCTGTGCACCCAGGGTTTATCCTGTGCGCCGAGGACTCATTCTGTTCACCCAGGGTTTATCCTGTGCGCCGAGGACTCATTCTGTTCACCCAGGGTTTATCTTGTGCGCCAAGGACTCATCCTGTGCACCCAGGGTTCATCTCGTGCACCCAGGGTACATTCTCTTCACCCATGGTTCATCCTGTGCACCGAAAGCACATTCTGTACACCCAGGATTCATCCTGTGCACCCAGGGTTATCTTGTGCACCCAGGGATCATCCTGTGTACCCAGGGTTCATCCTATATACCCAGGTTCCATTCTGAGAACCCAGGGTTCATCCTATATACCCAGGTTCCAGTCTGAGAACCCAGGGTTCATCCTGTGAACCCAGGGTTCATCCTGTGAACCCAGAGTTCATCTTGGGAACCCATAGTTCATCCTGTTCACCCAGGGTTCATCCTGTGCTCCCAGGGTTCGTCCTGTGCATCCCGGGTTTATCTTCTGCACCCAGGGTTCTTCCTGTGCACCAATGGTTCATTCTGTGCACCCAGAGTTCATCATGTGCACCGAAAGTTCATCCTCTGTTCCCTAATTTCAACCTCTGCTCCCTGTGCACCCAGCGTTCATCCTGTGCACCCAGGGCTTATCCTGTGCACGCAAGGTTTGTCCTCTACACCCAGGGTTCATCCTGTTAAACCAGGGTTCATCCTGAGCACCCAAAGTTCATGTTGAGCACCCAGATTTTATCCAGTGCACCAAGGGCGTATCCTGTGCACCCAGGATTCATCTTAAGCACCAAAGGTCTATCCTGTGAACCCAGGGTTCATCATCTGCACCCAGGATTTATCCTGCGCACTCAGGGTTTATTTTGAGCTCCTATGGTTCATTCTGTTCAACCTGGGTACCCAGGGTTCATCCTGTGTACCCAGAGCTCGTCCTGTGTACCCAAGGTTCATCCTGTGTACCCAGAGCTCGTCCTGTGCACCCATGGTTCATCTTGCACCCCTAGGGTTCATCGAGTGCACCCAGGGTTTATCCCGTGCACCCAGGGTTCATCCTATGAGCCCAGGGTTCATCCTGTGCACCCAGGGTTTATCCTGTGTGTCCAGGGTTCATCCTGTGCACTCAGGGTTCATCCAGTTCTCCTAGAATTCATCATGTGCACCCAAGATTTATACTCTGCTCCCAGGGTTCTTCCTGTGCACCCATGGTTTATCCTGTGCACGCAGGGTTTGTAATCTGCACCCTGGGTTCATCATGTTAAACCAGGGTTCATTCTGAGCGCCCAGGGTGCATGCTGTGCACCCGGGTTTTATCCTGTGCACCCAGGGTTCATCCTCTGCACTCAAAATTCATCCTGTGCACCCAGGGTTCATCCTGAATACCCAGGGTTCATCCTGTGCACCCAGGGCTCGTCCTGTGAACTCCGAATACATCCTGTGCACCCAGGGGTTATTCTGTGCACCCTGGTTCATCCTTTGCTCCCAGGATTCATCCTGTGCACTCATGATTTATTCTGAGTACCCAGAGTTCTTTCTATTAAACCAATGTTCATCCTGTGCACCCAGGGTTCATCTTGTGAACACAGGGTTTATCCTGTGCAAACAAGGTTTATACTGTGCTCCTATGGTTCATTCTGTTCACCCAGGGTTCATCCTGTGCACCCTGGGTTCACCCTTCGCACCTAGGGTTCATCCTCTGCACCCAGTGTTCTTCCTGTGCACCCAGAGTTAATCTTGTATACTCCCGGTTCATCCTGTGCACTCAGGGTTTGTTTTCCACTCAGGCTTCATTCTGTGCACCCAGGTTTTATCCTGTGCACCCAGGGTTCATATTGTGCACTCAGATTTCATCCTGTGCACTAAAGGTTTACCGTGTGCCCCCAGGGTTCATTCTGTGCCCTCAAGGTTTATCCTGTGCACCAAGGGCTCATCCTGTGCACCCAGGGTTCATCCTGTTAAACCAGGGCTCGTCCTGGTCTCCCGGGGTTCATTCTGCGCACCCAGGGTTCATCCTGTGTACCCAGAATTTATCTTGTGCCCCCAGATTTTATCATGTGCATCCAGGGTTCATCTTGTGCTCCCAAGGTTTATCCTGTGAACCCAGGGTTCATTCTGTTCAACTAATGTTCATACTGCGCACCAACGACTCATCCTGTGCACCCAGCGTTTATCCTGTGCACCCAGGGTTTATCCTGTGTCCCCAAGGTTTATCCTTTGCACCCAGGGTTTTTCCTGTGTCCCCAAGGTTTATCCTGTGCACCCAGGGTTCATCCTGTGCACCCAGGGTTCATCCTGTGCACCCAGGGTTTATCCTGTGCACCCAGGGATTGTCTTCTGTCTCCAAGGTTCATCCTGTTAAACCAGGGCTCATCCTGGTCACCCTGGGTTTGCCCTGTGCACCCAGGGTTCATCCTCTGTACCCAGCGTTCATCCTGTGCACACAGGTTTACACTGTGCACCCAGGTTTATTCTGTGCACCCAAGGTTCATCCTGTGCACGCAGAGTTTATCCTGTGCACCCAGCGTTTATCCTGTGCACGCAGAGTTTATCCTGTGCACCCAGGGTTTATCATCTGCACCCAGGGTTCATCGTGTGCACCCATTTTTATACTGTGCACCCAGGTTTATACTGTGCACGCAGGGTTCACCCTGCACACTCACGGTTCATCCTGTGTACACATGGTTTATCTTTTGCACCGAGGGTTCATTCTATGCACCCAGGTTTTATGCAGTACACCCAGGGTTCATCCTGTGCTCCCATGATTCATCCTGTGCACCCAGGGTTCATCCTGTGCATCCAGGGTTCATCCTCTGCACCCAGTGTTCATTCTGTACACCCAGGGTTCATCTTATGCATCCAGGGTTTATCCAGTGCACCCAGGGTTTTCTGTTCATCCCGGGTTCATTCTGTTCATCCAGGGATCATCATGTGCACGCAGGGTTCGTACTGTGCACCCAGGGTTCATGCTGCTCACCCAGGGTTTATCTTCTTATCAGTAGTTCATTTTTAGCTTCTGCTCATCTTGTGAGTAGAAGTTTGTTGTGCACGTACAGTTTATTATATAAACTGTAGGATAGTATACATCGCTTGGTCTTCCTATAGTCTTCTTTATTCCCTCAGCTCATCTTGTAGTATATTGTGCACACTGTGTTTATTATATAGTGCACTGTACACGTACAGCTGGTCTTGTGTTATGGTCCTCCTCATCATCATGTTTACTGTGCTCTCGCAACTCATCCTGCAACTCACCCAGGTTGTCCAGTGAGTGGTTATTGACCATCAGCAACTCATCCTGTGAGTGTATAACAGAAAAAGGCACAATACCGTGACTGGAACAATACACAAATAACCCGCTTACGACGACGTTTCGGTCCGACTTGGACCATTTACAAAGTCACACTGGCCTATGTATACTCCCTCCTCTCCTTTTCGTTAGTGTGACTTTGTAAATGGTCCAAGACGGACCGAAATGTCGCGTATGCTCCTCTCTAATATGTGCGGGTTATTTGTGTACTGTGAGTGAATGTTTAGTGCCCGTACAGCTTATCCTAAGAGCCGTCGTATAGGTGCAAATGCAGTTCATCCTTGGAGTGTTACCTTATTTTCCAGCCGCAGATCATCGAGTCAGTGATAACAGCAGAGGTCAACTGGGATTACAATTGGTCTTTATTAAACCCCCGCTGATGTAGTTCAATATTTACAACCTATAGAATAATTCAGTTAATTGTAATCCTAAATTTTAGTTATATAGGATGTACTTAGAATGTGAAAACGTTAAAATTTGAGATAGATTATTATTAACACTGAACTGTCTTCAGTTTCGGAAAAGTTAAGATATACTGTTGAGCTTCAGTTTATTTTCCTGTTTTCCTCGCAGAACATCGTGAGGAAAACTGGTCTGTCATGGCTGCTAGAATTCCGTCTCTCCGTCTGTGTGCTGCTGTGTATGAAGGTTCTCTCCTGCACTGCACACTCTCCAACACTTCACATCACAGGTGGAAAGTGACTTACATCAGTCTAGACCAAACCGGGAGTTTGTCCTAAAAATCAAAAGTTAGTTCTGTCGGATAAGGCTAGTGAAATTTTAGGTATGCAATAAATCTGCGGAAATTAATCAGAACATAACGAAATGTATGAATTCGATTCAAGATTTAATATACAACTGTGAATAAATAAACACAAAGATGGACGGGGCTTCAACCGTGGTCCTATGTTAGCAGGTCCAGCACATTACTGCTGACCTACGAAGCTTCTTATAGGAAAAAATCGGAAACCAAATTTATATTCAGTTCTCCTTCAGCGACCCTCTTCAAGGGGGTTCCTGGCTGATGAGGCTCTTGATCTAACGAATTGGACCTTTTACTCTACCTCGGACCAAAACCTAAACACCCGTCATTCCTTACCCCCAACCCATCTTTCCCATCCCACCTCCTTCCCATCCCACTTCCTTTCCCAATTCCTCCTCTCTCCTACGTTTGGCTTTTGGGGATTTTCACCGGAAATCATAATTCCTGAGTCGGGAAAAGATAATCGTTATCAGTTCCATTCCACTGAGGCCCTCGGTGGTGGTGTCTGCCGTGGAGTCAAGATCATCTAGATGTGCTGATCCTCCCTCTGGAGTTCTGGAGGGTGGCTTTAGGTGTCCTCAAGATGACGAGTATATATTTGGAGGCTACCTGTCGGTTCCAGGAAGTTGCAACCGTAGGGATTATGCCTTGCAACAGGCATTCGACAGCCCTCTCTTTAGTCTGCCAAGGTGGCTTGGTGAATGTGAGATTATCCTGGATTGCCGATTTTCTGGCATGAAGGGTAGGGTAGGGAATGGGTTCCATGCAGCATCTACACTACAAGCCGCGCCGACGGTTAGTAGGAAGCTCGGTACCAGAGGTGGGCAACGAGGTATTACCCGAAGGAGGTACTGGGCTCTTTGAAACGTCCGAAGAAAGGTCAGTTGATGTTTTAAGGTCGTGTGTGGATGCCGCTGGGAAAAAAGGGGGCCTGGGAGAAGGAAGTTCATGAATATGTACTTCAAGGATAAGTTTTTCTTTTTAAATAGAGGGTTTGTGTGGAGAAATAGGTAATAGGTCTAAGGAGAAACAAAAGATCAGACATTTCCCTCCGTGAGAGACCTTCACTTTGTACTTCCTGGCTGAGCAGTTACAAATATTTATGACCTCTGTTTTAATGGCAGCTTCAAGTACAATCCTCCTAAACTCAGGTCGACATTTCTCGGAAACGCGTATGATAATGGTCTTTTTTTTGTTCGTGCAGTGTATCTGCAGGATGCTGCGTTCAGCCTTTATCGTTACAATGGGTCCTAGAGGGGCTCTTTGATTTTAAGTGAGCGATGGAGGTTGCCGACGTGTAATCCCTGAAGCAAAATGCACTTGTTGGAGGGATTACGTTTCTACTGTAACTTCCACTTCCTCTATAATTAGAGTTTGGAAAAATGTATGAAAATTGAGAGGCAGCTCCCGTTCTTAGGGTTGACTGCGTCAGCAGTGCAGACTCTTCTGTAGTTGCCGCATGATTTAAATATCTTGTCCGTATTTTTCATGGACTCCATCTGTGCCCCTCGTTTTTTATTTCAGATCTGCCAGAGAGTTAATACCTTTGCATTTTACTTCTAGCATAGAAGAATGTAAAGTACCTTTTACACTTCGAGACCCTGAGTCAACACTTTCCGCTTGCCGACCATCGGCAGGTGGACCTGATGGTATTCATATTTGAGTGCTTCAACATTTGCATTCGACGGCCCTCGTAGTCCTCTCACATATCTTTAATTTGATTACAAGAGGTTCTTCCTTATCCATGAAAAACTGTAGCTTTGACCTTTCATAAACCAGGTACTTTGGGCCACGATGCATCCCACTATCAACCCTCATCACTGTCGTTTATATAAATTGTGAACAACAACGGGCCCAACACTGACCCCTGTGGAACACCACTCGTGACGCGCCCCCACTCTGATTTCTCCCCATTGATGCAAACTCTCTCCTGCCTATTTGTCAACCATGCCTCTATCCACGAAAAAAATTCTCCTCCTATTCCGTGTGCCTTAAGTTTCCTCAATAGTCTCTGATGTGTAACTCTATCGAAAGCCTTACTGAAGTCCACATACACAATATCATATTCAATACCATGATCTACCTCCTCAAATACCTTAGTGAAGAAAGTAAATTCGTAAGGCAGGAACGCCGCTTTGTAAAATCGTGACCTTTAATTTAGGCCTTTAATTTCAAGCACTGATCAGAGTATTATTATTGTGAGGATTAGTATTAGTAGAAGCAGTAACAGAAATAGTAGTTGTAGCAATAGTAGTTGTAGTAATAATAGCAGTAAATGTCAGAAGTAGTAACTGTAGTAGTAATAAAAGTTGTATTATTAGCAGTAATATTGGTAGCAGGTGTAGTAGCAGTTATGGTGGTAGTAGTAATGATGGTAATAGTAGCAATAGTATTAATAATGGTTGTAGTGGTAGTAATAGTAATATTAATAGTGATGGTAGTAGTGCTAGTACTAGTGGTAGATTTATTAGTAGTAGTAGTAGCAGTAATAGTATCAATAATAGTAGTAATAGCAGGAGAAAGAGCGATAGTAATATTACTAGCAGCAGTAGCAACAGTAGTAGTAGCAGTAGTAGTAGTAGTAGTAGTAGTAGTAGTAGTAGTAGTAGTAGTAGTAGCAGTAGTAGTAGTAACAGTACTGGTGAAAGTAGCAGTAGGTTGTTCTGTATTCACTAAACTCTTGAATGAAGTTGAAAATAATCTGTATAAGTCTGAAGTACGAATTCAATGTTGTTATTGGTGTTAGTGACAGCATTGTGTACCTCACATAAGTACTGTAAACAGTCATGAGAGAATCTTTGTTGAGCTTTATGAACGTAGTTCACATAAGTACTGTAAACAGTCATGAGAGAATCTTTGTTGAGCTTCATGAACGTAGTTCACATAAGTACTGTAAACAGTCATGAGAGAATCTTTGTTGAGCTTCATGAACGTAGTTCACATAAGTACTGTAAACAGTCATGAGAGAATCTTTGTTGAGCTTCATGAACGTAGTTCACATAAGTACTGTAAACAGTCATGAGAGAATCTTTGTTGAGCTTCATGAACGTAGTTCACATAAGTACTGTAAACAGTCATGAGAGAATCTTTGTTGAGCTTCATGAACGTAGTTCACATAAGTACTGTAAACAGTCATGAGAGAATCTTTGTTGAGCTTCATGAACGTAGTTCACATAAGTACTGTAAACAGTCATGAGAGAATCTTTGTTGAGCTTCATGAACGTAGTTCACATAAGTACTGTAAACAGTCATGAGAGAATCTTTGTTGAGCTTCATGAACGTAGTTCACATAAAATACTGTAAACAGTCATGAGAGAATCTTTGTTGAGCTTCATGAACGTAGTTCACATAAGTACTGTAAACAGTCATGAGAGAATCTTTGCTGAGCTTCATGAACGTAGTTCACATAAGTGCTGTAAACAGTCATGAGAGAATCTTTGTTGAGCTTCATGAACGTAGTTCACATAAGTACTGTAAACAGTCATGAGAGAATCTTTGCTGAGCTTCATGAACGTAGTTCACATAAGTACTGTAAACAGTCATGAGAGAATCTTTGTTGAGCTTCATGAACGTAGTTCACATAAGTACTGTAAACAGTCATGAGAGAATCTTTGCTGAGCTTCATGAACGTAGTTCACATAAGTGCTGTAAACAGTCATGAGAGAATCTTTGTTGAGCTTCATGAACGTAGTTCACAAAGTACTGTAAACAGTCATGAGAGAATCTTTGTTGAGCTTCATGAACGTAGTTCACATAAGTACTGTAAACAGTCATGAGAGAATCTTTGTTGAGCTTCATGAACGTAGTTCACATAAGTACTGTAAACAGTCATGAGAGAATCTTTGCTGAGCTTCATGAACGTAGTTCACATAAGTACTGTAAACAGTCATGAGAGAATCTTTGCTGAGCTTCATGAACGTAGTTCTTATATTTAACAATATTACAAATATTCCTGCCATTAGTCTGTGTGTCTGTTTATTCAGCCTGAAAATTAGTGATTGGTGAGACACTGTTGTATATCTGTCAGCACTGTGCCTAACCTTCCATTTATCTAAATTCATTATCTAAAGAAAACTATTATAATATATTAGTAAGGTATGATACCCCTTGTTTACCTGGAGTTTACCTGGAGAGAGTTCCGGGGGTCAACGCCCCCGCGGCCCGGTCTGAGACCAGGCCTCCTGGTGGATCAGAGCCTGATCAACCAGGCTGTTGCTGCTGGCTGCACGCAAACCAACATACGAGCCACAGCCCGGCTGATCCGGAACTGACTTTAGGTGCTTGTCCAGTGCCAGCTTGAAGACTGCCAGGGGTCTGTTGGTAATCCCCCTTATGTGTGCTGGGAGGCAGTTGAACAGTCTCGGGCCCCTGACACTTATTGTATGGTCTCTTAACGTGCTAGTGACACCCCTGCTTTTCATTGGGGGGATGTTGCATCGTCTGCCAAGTCTTTTGCTTTCGTAGTGGGTGATTTTCGTGTGCAAGTTCGGTACTAGTCCCTCTAGGATTTTCCAGGTGTATATAATCATGTATCTCTCCCTCCTGCGTTCCAGGGAATACAGGTTTAGGAACCTCAAGCGCTCCCAATAATTGAGGTGTTTTATCTCCGTTATGCGCGCCGTGAAAGTTCTCTGTACATTTTCTAGGTCGGCAATTTCACCTGCCTTGAAAGGTGCTGTTAGTGCAGCAATATTCCAGCCTAGATAGAACAAGTGACCTGAAGAGTGTCATCATGGGCTTGGCCTCCCTAGTTTTGAAGGTTCTCATTATCCATCCTGTCATTTTTCTAGCAGATGCGATTTATACAATGTTATGGTCCTTGAAGGTGAGATCCTCCGACATGATCACTCCCAGGTCTTTGACGTTGGTGTTTCGCTCTATTTTGTGGCCAGAATTTGTTTTGTACTCTGATGAAGATTTAATTTCCTCATGTTTACCATATCTGAGTAATTGAAATTTTCTCATCGTTGAACTTCATATTGTTTTCTGCAGCCCACTGAAAGATTTGGTTGATGTCTGCCTGGAGCTTTGCAGTGTCTGCAATGGAAGACACTGTCATGCAGATTCGGGTGTCATCTGCAAAGGAAGACACGGTGCTGTGGCTGACATCCTTGTCTATGTCGGATATAAGGATGAGGAACAAGATGGGAGCGAGTACTGTGCCTTGTGGAACAGAGCTTTTCACCGTAGCTGCCTCGGACTTTACTCTGTTGACGACTACTCTCTGTGTTCTGTTAGTGAGGAAATTATAGATCCATCGACCGACTTTTCCTGTTATTCCTTTAGCACGCATTTTGTGCGCTATTACGCCATGGTCACACTTGTCGAAGGCTTTTGCAAAGTCTGTATATATTACATCTGCATTCTTTTTGTCTTCTAGTGCATTTAGGACCTTGTCGTAGTGGTCCAATAGTTGAGACAGACAGGAGCGACCTGTTCTAAACCCATGTTGCCCTGGGTTGTGTAACTGATGGGTTTCTAGATGCGTGGTGATCTTGCTTCTTAGGACCCTTTCAAAGATTTTTATGATATGGGATGTTAGTGCTATTGGTCTGTAGTTCTTTGCTGTTGCTTTACTGCCCCCTTTGTGGAGTGGGGCTATGTCTGTTGTTTTTAGTAACTGTGGGACGACCCCCGTGTCCATGCTCCCTCTCCATAGGATGGAAAAGGCTCGTGATAGGGGCTTCTTGCAGTTCTTGATGAACACAGAGTTCCATGAGTCTGGCCCTGGGGCAGAGTGCATGGGCATGTCATTTATCGCCTGTGAATCCATATTGTGAATCAGTGATGAATCAGCCGAGAAAACTACGAGATATATAATGTTCTCTCTTCGTATCTCCTTTCTTGATTAATATTACCACATTTATGACTTACCAGCCTCTCACCTCTAACAAAATAATGTAAACTTTGGTTACTGCTCAGTGTATGTGTCGTCTCCTTCAGTGTATGTGTCGTCTCCTTCAGTGTATGTGTCGTCTCCTTCAGTGTATGTGTCGTCTCCTTCAGTGTATGTGTCGTCTCCTTCAGTGTATGTGTCGTCTCCTTCAGTGTATGTGTCGTCTCCTTCAGTGTATGTGTCATCTCCTTCAGTGTATGTGTCGTCTCCTTCAGTGTATGTGTCGTCTCCTTCAGTGTATGTGTCGTCTCCTTCAGTGTATGTGTCGTCTCCTTCAGTGTATGTGTCGTCTCCTTCAGTGTATGTGTCGTCTCCTTCAGTGTATGTGTCGTCTCCTTCAGTGTATGTGTCGTCTCCTTCAGTGTATGTGTCGTCTCCTTCAGTGTATGTGTCGTCTCCTTCAGTGTATGTGTCGTCTCCTTCAGTGTATGTGTCGTCTCCTTCAGTGTATGTGTCGTCTCCTTCAGTGTATGTGTCGTCTCCTTCAGTGTATGTGTCGTCTCCTTCAGTGTATGTGTCGTCTCCTTCAGTGTATGTGTCGTCTCCTTCAGTGTATGTGTCGTCTCCTTCAGTGTATGTGTCGTCTCCTTCAGTGTATGTGTCGTCTCCTTCAGTGTATGTGTCGTCTCCTTCAGTGTATGTGTCGTCTCCTTCAGTGTATGTGTCGTCTCCTTCAGTGTATGTGTCGTCTCCTTCAGTGTATGTGTCGTCTCCTTCAGTGTATGTGTCGTCTCCTTCAGTGTATGTGTCGTCTCCTTCAGTGTATGTGTCGTCTCCTTCAGTGTATGTGTCGTCTCCTTCAGTGTATGTGTCGTCTCCTTCAGTGTATGTGTCGTCTCCTTCAGTGTATGTGTCGTCTCCTTCAGTGTATGTGTCGTCTCCTTCAGTGTATGTGTCGTCTCCTTCAGTGTATGTGTCGTCTCCTTCAGTGTATGTGTCGTCTCCTTCAGTGTATGTGTCGTCTCCTCAGTGTATGTGTCGTCTCCTTCAGTGTATGTGTCGTCTCCTTCAGTGTATGTGTCGTCTCCTTCAGTGTATGTGTCGTCTCCTTCAGTGTATGTGTCGTCTCCTTCAGTACACATAGTGAGGTCATTATAGGCCTATTACTTTCCCACATATCCTTCTCTTTCAGATAAGTTATTATATAACTTCCTGCCAACAGATGTGGCAGAAAACTTTAACATCGATCAAAACAGTTCGCAGAACCTTCATGACGAGCCAGATCACCATTCCTTCCCTCCAAGTTCTGAAAGCAACTTTACCATCAATGATGAACACATTATTCATCAGCGCACAGAGAAGATATGTGAGTAACCTGAGTTATGTGAGTAACCTGAGTTATGAGTGCTCTCTCCCACTTGCAATTAAGATAATTTACAACATTTACTTCTAAGACTGAAAATTGTTATCCTATATTAGTTCCTTTTAAAGTTCTGTTAAGTATACTGTCTCCGTCTTGGATACTGCTGACAGTAAACGATTAACGCATAAATTAGTATTTACTGCTTGGTTAACATGGGCAGAAGATGCAAGGTAAATACTTGTTAGCCAGGCCGGGCATCGAGCCTGTGCCCTCTTAGTTGTGAGCTTGACGGATTATCAGTAAACTTCAAGTTTTTGTAACTAATGTGTCTGTGTGAGAGATTTCTTTTTAACTACCACCTCCATCAAGTAGCAGGTTATACACTGGGTACTAACACTTACCAGTCTGTACTGGAACAATCTGTTTGATCAACAATACGCTAAAATATTTAATTTCAGCAGGACTACAGTCTTTATAACGTTACGTTACTAATCTCTCAGTAACACCCAGATGGCTCTTCTTGTCTCAAGGTTCCTACTTCCGAGTCTCCTTCGGCCTGAGATTAGTATTTGTGAATATTTCGTCAGTTTTGGAATTCTAAGAGTTATATATATATATATATATATATATATATATATATATATATATATATATATAATATATATATATATATATATATATATATATATATATATATATATATATATATATATGTCGTGCCGAATAGGCAGAACTTGCGATCTTGGCTTAAATAGCAATGTTCATCTTGCCATATAGGACAACTGAAAATTTGTGTATGCAATAATTTCGCCAAAATCATTCTGAACCTAACGAAAAAAAATATATTTGATCGTGTTTATTTAGTACTAAAATATTGTAAACGTATTTAAAATATATTTAGTTGGGTTAGGCTAAAATAAATTACACTTGTTATAATAAGGTTAGGTAAGTTTTCTAAGATTCTTTTGGTCCAAAAATATGATTTTTTACATTAACATTGATGAAAAAAAATGTATCTTTAAACGTATAAGAGAAAATTTCAGAAAGGGCTTAATTTTAAATGAGTTCTTGCTAACTAACCAGTTTTACATATTCGGCACGACATATATATATATATATATATATATATATATATATATATATATATATATATATATATAGTCTTAGACAGGGATGTGTAATGCCACAATGGTTGTTTAATATATTTATAGATAGGGTTGTAAAAGAAGTAAATGCTAGGGTGTTCGGGAGAGGGGTGGGATTAAATTATGGAAAATTAAATACAAAATGAGAGTTGACGCAGTTGCTTTTTTGCTGATGATACTGTGCTTATGGGAGATTCTAAAGGAAAGAAAAGTTGCAAAGGTTAGTGAACGGGTTTGGGAGTGTGTGTAAAGGTAGAACGTTGAAAGTGGGCATAGAAGAGAGTAAGGTGATGAGGGTATCAAATGATTTAGATAAAGAAAAATTGGATATCAAATTGAGGAGGAGGAGTATGGAAGAAGTGAATGTTTTCAGATACTTGGGAGTTGACGTGTCGGCGGATGGATTTATGAAGGATGAGGTTAATCATAGAATTAATGAGGGAAAAAAGGTGAGTGGTGCGTTGAGGTATATGTGGAGTCAAAAAACGTGATCTATGGAGGTAAAGAAGGGAATGTATGAAAGTATAGTAGTACCAACACTCTTATATGGATGTGAAGCTTGGGTGGTAAATGCAGCAGCGAGGAGACGGTTGGAGGCAGTGGAGATGTCCTGTCTAAGGGCAATGTGTGGTGTAAATATTATGCAGAAAATTCGGAGTGTGGAAATTAGGAGAAGGTGTGGAGTTAATAAAAGTATTAGTCAGAGGGCTGAAGAGGGGTTGTTGAGGTGGTTTGGTCATTTAGAGAGAATGGATCAAAGTAGAATGACATGGAGGGCGTTTAAATGTGTAGGGGAAGAAAGGCGGGGTAGGGGTCGTCCTCGAAGAGGTTGGAGGGAGGGGCTAAACGTGGTTTTGTGGGCGAGGGGCTTGGACTTCCAGCAATCGTGCGTGAGCGTGTTAGATAGGAGTGAATGAATACGAATGGTATTTGGGACCTGACGATCTGTTGGAGTGTGAGCAGGGTAATATTTAGTGAAGGGATTCAGGGAAACCGGTAATATTTATATAGCCGGACTTGAGTCCTGGAAATGGGAAGTACAATGCCTGCACTTTAAAGGAGGGGTTTGGGATATTGGCAGTTTGGAGGGATATGTTGTGTATCTTTATACGTATATGCTTCTAAACTGTTATATTCTGAGCACCTCTGCAAAAACAGTGATTATGTGTGAGTGTGGTGAAAGTGTTGAATGATGATGAAAGTATTTTCTTTTTGGGGATTTTCTTTCTTTTTGGGTCACCCTGCCTCGGTGGGAGACGGCCGACTTGTTGAAATTATATATATATATATATATAATATAATATATATATATATATATATATATATATATATATATATATATATATATATATATATATGTCGTGCCTAATAGGTAAAACTGGTCAATTAACAAGAACTCATTTAAAATTAAATCCTTTCTAAAATTTTCTCCTATACGTTTAAAGATATATTTTTTTCATTAATGTTAATGTAAAAATTTATAATTTTGAACCAAAAAAATCTTAGAAAACTTACCTAACCTTATTATAACAAGAGCAATTTATTTTAGCCTAACCCAACTATATATATTTTAAATACTTTTACAATCATTTAATAATAAACAAAAACAATGAAATATATTTTTTTCGTTAGATTCAGAATGATTTTTGCGAAATTTGCATACACAAATTTTCACTTGTCTTATATGGCAAGATGAGCGTTGCTATTTAAGCCGGAGAGAGAGAGAGAGAGAGAGAGAAAGAGAGAGGAAAGAGAGAGAAAGAGAGAGAAAGAGAGAGAAAGAAGAGAGAAAGAGAGAGAAAGAGAGAGAAGAGAGAAAGAGAGAGAGAGAGAGAGAGAGAGAGAGAGAGAGAGAGAGAGAGAGAGAGAGAGAGAGAGAGAGAGAGAGAGAGAGAGAGAGAGAAGTGGATAAAAAGGCTTCAAGGAAGAATATTTGGATTTCTTCCTGAAGCCTTTTAAATATTCCACTTCCCCTACCACCCCATCTTTTCTTTCCTTTTTACCAATAGGTATATTTTATTACATAATATTGTACAAAAGGTTTAAGAGATACATTGTTACATTGTTGATATCAAGATAGCATATACAGTACATGAGACGTGAGACATACATGTCTAGTACATATCCTTACATGTTTGTCACTGATTATAATGCGAAAATCTCATCCAGGTCTTCAGAGCTGGGGCGCGTGCCCAAAATACAGCAGGCATTACCCCTCTGAACAGCCACACATACTGAAATGTTGCAAGTAATGCAATGACGGAGAATTGCTTGATAGCAACGTTTTTGTATAATATTCTTTGATTTGTGTTCCTTTTTACTAAGTCGTATTTCACCAGGTACCGCCATACTATCTCCATGATCTTGTCATTAATATTTAGTGTGTCTGCTCATTAGATCTTTAACCTATTTACAAATATATTACAATTATCTATTGAAATCTACCCCTTATGCCCTGTAAAATAGACTACACTGGCCACTACAATACAGCTCTACAGAAACATCCAACTTGTCAACCACAAAACTTCTCGTCTACATCACAACATAGACTACACTGGCCACTACAGTACAGCTCTACAGAAACATCCAACTTGTCAACCACAAAACTTCTCATCTACATCACAACATAGACTACACTGGCCACTACAGTACAGCTCTACAGAAACATCCAACTTGTCAACCACAAAACTTCTCATCTACATCACAACATAGACTACACTGGCCACTACAATGCAGCTCTACAGAAACATCCAACTTGTCAACCACAAAACTTCTCATCTACATCACAACATAGACTACACTGGCCACTACAGTACAGCTCTACAGAAACATCCAACTTGTCAACCACAAAACTTCTCATCTACATCACAACATAGACTACACTGGCCACTACAATGCAGCTCTACAGAAACATCCAACTTGTCAACCACAAAACTTCTCATCTACATCACAACATAGACTACAACTGGCCACTACAGTACAGCTCTACAGAAACATCCAACTTGTCAACCACAAAACTTCTCATCTACATCACAACATAGACTACACTGGCCACTACAATGCAGCTCTACAGAAACATCCAACTTGTCAACCACAAAACTTCTCATCTACATCACAACATAGACTACACTGGCCACTACAATGCAGCTCTACAGAAACATCCAACTTGTCAACCACAAAACTTCTCATCTACATTACAACATCAGTTTATCTAACCAAGAAAGTTCACTTTATTTACTAAAATTTATTTTCATTTTGGAAACCACTCTTTATCTACATTAGTAAGTGTGTCAGTTTTTATAGGTATTAGCCACACAGACACGCAGCATTACAGGAACAGATGGTTATATCCTATATCTCGAATACCTTATGTCTCGTATACCCTATGTCTCTTATACCCTATATCTCGTATACCCTGCAGTGCCCATTCTGACGGTGGTGAGGTTCCCCAACGTTCCATGTACTGTTGGATCGACAGATGGTACTTGTTACACTGGTACTGAGTGTAGGCAACTGGGCGGTGTGCAGATGGGCTTGTGTGCGAATGGCTTTGGTGTCTGCTGCTACAGTGAGTATATTTATAGAACATGTTGTGTCGACTTTGTTCTATGAAGGGATAGGAATAAGTATTGTGAATATTTTGTCTTAAACAATCTGAAGATTTACTTGTTGCTTAATGTTGTGTTAGTGTAACCATAAAAACTTTATGGTCGTATAATTCGAGCAGGTGTGTCCAGCTTTTTGTCGGTCAAATACACCGTATTCAGTCAGTTGTCTTCTAGCCAGAAAAAAACAATAAAATTAGCACATACATTAAGAGTTACGGGAGAAACCAACTAACACAGATCTACCATAAGATGACCTGTTTAGAGGCGCTTCCTTATTGTCAGGTGGGGTAAAAAATTTATATACTTTTGACACTGTGGTGGCACTGAGAGCAGTAAACACTGACTTACCTGTCCTGGACTGACACTGGTGGCACTGAGAGCAGTAAACACTGACTTACCTGTCCTGGACTGACACTGTGGTGGCACTGAGAGCAGTAAACACTGACTTACCTGTCCTGGACTGACACTGTGGTGGCACTGAGAGCAGCAACCACTGACTTACCTTTTCCCGGACTGACACTGTGGTGGCACTGAGAGCAGCAACCACTGACTTACCTGTCCTGGACTGACACTGTGGTGGGCGCTGAGAGCAGCAACCACTGACTTACCTGTCCTGGACTGACACTGTGGTGGGCGCTGAGAGCAGCACAGCTGACTTACCTGCCCTGGACTGACACTGTGGTGGCACTGAGAGCAGCACAGCTGACTTACCTGTCCTGGACTGACACTGTGGTGGCACTGAGAGCAGCACAGCTGACTTACCTGTCCTGGACTGACACTGTGGTGGGCGCTGAGAGCAGCACAGCTGACTTACCTGCCGGGGACTGACATGTGGTGGCTTTTTGAGAGCACACGCACTTACCTCCCGGACTGACACTGTGGTGGCACTGAGAGCAGCACAGCTGACTTCTGTCCTGGATGACACTGTGGTGGGCCCACTGAGAGCAGCAACAGCTGCCCTTACCTGTCTGGCGGACACTGTGTGGCACTGAGAGCAGCCGCTGACTTACCTGTCCTGGACTGACACTTTTGGTGGCACTGAAGCAGCACCTGATTACCTGTCCGGGGACTGAACTGTGGTGGCACTGAGAGCAGCCAGCTGACTTACCTGTCCTGGACTGACACTGGGTGGGCACTGAGGAGCACACAGCGACTTACCTGCCCTGGACGACACGTGGTGGCATGAGAGCAGCACAGCTGACTACCTGTCCTGGACTGACACTGTGGTGGCACTGAGAGCAGCACAGCTGACTTACCTGTCCTGGACTGACACTGTGGTGGGCGCTGAGAGCAGCACAGCTAACTTAGCTGTCCTGGACACAGTTGGTTGAGTATTTATTTTGATGTGTCCACAGAGGAGATCACGTGTGGAGGGTCATCTAGCACCAACTGCACGTACTTAGTCAGCCCTAATTTCCCAGTTACGTACAATGAGGCCAGGAGCTGCAACATGACCATCACTCGTATGCAGGACGTCTGTCAGTTGAGACTCGATTTTCAGGCTTTTGACACCTTTCCTCCAGACAAGTTTGGTGAGTGAACTGCCTCTGGTTGACCAGTTTGGTGAGTGGACTGACTCTGGTTGACCAGTGTGGTGAGTGGACTGACTCTGGTTGACCAGTGAGGTGAGTGGACTGACTCTGGTTGACCAGTGTGGTGAGTGGACTGACTCTGGTTGACCAGTGAGGTGAGTGGACTGACTCTGGTTGACCAGTGTGGTGAGTGCACTGACTCTGGTTGACCAGTGTGGTGAGTGGACTGACTCTGGTTGACCAGTGTGGTGAGTGGACTGACTCAGGTTGCCCAGTGTGGTGAGTGGACTGATCTGGTTGACCAGTTGGGTGAGTGGACGGGACTCTGGTTGACCAGTGTGGTGAGTGGACTGACTCTGGGTGACCAGTGTGGTGAGTGAACTGACTCTGGTTGACCAGTGTGGTGAGTGGATGACTCTGGTTGACCAGTGTGGTGAGTGGACTGACTCTGGTTGACCATTTGAGGTGAGTGGACGACTTGGTTGACCAGTGTGGTGAGTGGACTGACTCTGGTTGACCAGTGTGGTGAGTGCACTGCTCTAGTTGACATGTGTGAGTGGACTGACTTCTGTTGACCGTGAGGTGAGTGGACTGACTCGGATTGACCAGTGGGGTGAGGGGGATGGACTCTGGGTTGACCAGTGGGTGAGTGGAGTGACTTGGTGACGTGGGGTGAGTGGACGATTTGTGACAGTGTGGTGAGTGGATGATTTCGGGGTTGACCAGTGGGGTGGGGACTGACTGGGTTGACCGTGTGGTGGAACTGACCGGGTTCACATGTGGTGAGTGGACTGACTCGGGTTTGACAGTGTGGTGAGGGACTGACTCTGGTTGACCAGTGTGTGAGTGGACTGGCTCTGGGACCGTGTGGTGAGTGGACTGGCTCTGGTGACCATTTGTGGTGGGGGATGACTCGGTGACCATTTGTGGTGAGTGGACTGGCTCTGGTTGACCAGGTGGAGAGTGGACTGACTCTGGTGCCTTGTGGTGAGTAAACGGGATTTGGGTTTGCCAGTGTGGTGAGTGGACTGACTCTGGTTGACCAGTGAGGTGAGTGGACTGACTCTGGTTGACCAGTGTGGTGAGTGGACTGACTCTGGTTGACCAGTGAGGTGAGGGGGACTGACTCTGGTTGACCAGTGTGGTGAGTGGACTGACTCTGGTTGACCAGTGTGGTGAGTGGACTGACTCTGGTTGACCAGTGTGGTGAGTGGACTGACTCTGGTTGACCAGTGTGGTGAGTGGACTGACTCTGGTTGACCAGTTGTGGTGAGTGGCTGACTCGGGTTTTGACCAGTGTGGGGGGTGGACTGACTCGGTTGACCAGTGGGGTTTGAGTGGACTGCCCTTGGTTGACCAGTTGTGGTGAGTGGACTGGCTCTGGTTGACCAGTGTGGTGAGTGGACTGGCTCGGGTTTGACCAGTTTTGGTGAGGGGGACTGACTCTGGTTGACCAGTGTGGTGAGTGGACTGAGTCTGGTTGACCAGTGTGGTGATTGGACTGACTCTGGTTGACCGGGTGGTGAGTGGACTGACTCTGGTGACCAGTGTGGTGAGGGGGACTGACTCTGGTTGACCAGTGTGGTGAGTGGATGACTCTGGTTGACAGTGAGGTGAGTGGACTGATCTGGTTGACCTTTTGTGGTGAGTGGACTGACTCTGGTTGACCAGTGTGGTGAGTGGACTGACTCTGGTTGACCAGTGTGGTGAGTGGACTGACTCTGGTTGACCAGTGTGGTGAGTGGACTGACTCTGGTTGACCAGTGTGGTGAGTGGACTGACTCTGGTTGACCAGTGTGGTGAGTGGACTGACTCTGGTTGACCAGTGTGGTGAGTGGACTGACTCTGGTTGCCCAAGTGTGGTGTGTGGACTGACTCTGGTTGACCAGTGTGGTGATGGACTGACTCTGGTTGCCAGTGAGGTGAGTGGACTGACTCTGGTTGACCAGTGTGGTGAGGGGGACTGACTCTGGTTGACCAGTGAGGTGAGTGGACTGACTCTGGTTGACCAGTGTTGGTGAGTGGACTGACTCTTGTTGACCAGTGTGGTGAGTGGACTGACTCTGGTTGACCAGTGTGGTGAGTGGACTGACTCTGGTTGACCAGTGTGGTGAGTGGACTGACTCTGGTTGACCAGTGTGGTGAGTGGATGACTCTGGTTGACCAGTGTGGTGAGTGGACTGACTCTGGTTTGACCAGTGTGGTGAGTGGACTGATCTGGTTGACCGGGTGTGGTGAGTGGACTGCCCTCTGGTTGACCGTGTGGTGAGTGGACTGACTCTGGTTGACCAGTGTGGTGAGTGGACTGACTTGGTTGACCAGTGGGGGTTGGTGGACTGACTCTGGTTGACCGTGTGGTGAGTGGACTGACTCTGGTTGACCAGTGTGGTGAGTGGACTGACTCTGGTTGACCAGTGTGGTGAGTGGACTGACTCTGGTTGACCAGTGTGGTGAGTGGACTGACTCTGGTTGACCAGTGTGGTGAGTGGACTGACTCTGGTTGACCAGTGTGGTGAGTGGACTGGCTCTGGTTGACCAGTGTGGTTTGAGTGGACTGACTCTGGTTGACCAGTTGTGGTGAGTGGACTGGCTCTGGTTGACCAGTGTGGTGAGTGGACTGGACTCTGGTTAACCAGTGTGGGAGTGGACTGACTCTGGTTGACCAGTGTGGTGAGTGGACTGACTCTGGTTGACCAGTGTGGTGAGTGGACTGACTCTGGTTGACCAGTGTGGTGAGTGGACTGACTCTGGTTGACCAGTGTGGGTGAGGGGACTGACTCTGGTTGCCCAGTGTGGTGAGTGGACTGACCTGGTTGACCAGGTGGTGAGTGGACTGACTCGGGTTGACCAGTGGGGTTTGAGTGGACTGACTCTGGTGACCAGTGTGGTGAGTGGACTGACTTGGTTGACCAGTGTGGTGAGTGGACTGACTCTGGTTGACCAGTGTGGTGAGGGACTGACTCGGGTTTGACAGTGTGGGTGAGTGGACTGACTCTGGTTGACCAGTGAGGTGAGTGGACTGACTCTGGTTGACCAGTGTGGTGAGTGGACTGACTCTGGTTGACCAGTGTGGTGAGTGGACTGACTCTGGTTGACCAGTGTGGTGAGTGGACTGACTCTGGTTGACCAGTGTGGTGAGTGGACTGACTCTGGTTGACCAGTGTGGTGAGTGGACTGACTCTGGTTGACCAGTGTGGTGAGTGGACTGACTCTGGTTGACCAGTGTGGTGAGTGGACTGACTCTGGTTGACCAGTGTGGTGAGTGGACTGGCTCTGGTTGACCAGTGTGGTGAGTGGACTGGCTCTGGTTGACCAGTGTGGTGAGTGGACTGACTCTGGTTGACCAGTGTGGTGAGTGGACTGACTCTGGTTGACCAGTGTCACGTCATACACAAAATGAGGGGATTGATTATTTTATTTTTTAGCTAACACACGTGTAATTTTATCTTATTCCTAGTAATGACCCTCGTGTAGTACATAGTCTTAGTGACCCTCGTGTAGTACATAGTCTTAGTGACCCTCGTGTAGTACATAGTCTTAGTGACCCTCGTGTAGTACATAGTCTTAGTGACCCTCGTGTAGTACATAGTCTTAGTGACCCTCGTGTAGTACATAGTCTTAGTGACCCTCGTGTAGTACATAGTCTTAGTGACCCTCGTGTAGTACATAGTCTTAGTGACCCTCGTGTAGTACATAGTGTTAGTGACCCTCGTGTAGTACATAGTGTTAATGACCCTCGTGTAGTACATAATCTTAATAGTATGATAATAAGATATTATCACCTTTATATTATAATAATAAGGTTAAAGGACCCCAATGGAAATAAGTCACTGTGTCTGACTGTGTTATCCCAGGTTCTCTACACATATACTGCTGTGTATGATAATCTATATAACTGTATTTGTGTATACTTGAATAAACTTACTTACGCTGAATACAACACACACATTATATAAGTATTATATATATATATATTTATATATATATATATATATATATATATATTTTATATATATATATTATATTTATATATTATATATTTTAAATAAATTTTATATATATATTTATAATATTTTTATATATATTTATTGTGTTGTGTGTGTGTGTGTGTGTGTGTGTGTTGTGTGTGTGTGTGTGTGTGTGTGTGTATTAAATAATGGTTTTTAGGTTATTTTTATCCTGCTGAAACTGAATCTGAAGTCAGAATTAACCCATGAAGTAAACTTTAATGTGGTTCAATGTTTCATGAATAAACTAATTTGTAAGTATCTCAGAGCAAAGCTTTGTGGCTGTCTGCTTACATTCACATGAATCTCAGGTATCATGTCTGCTTGTCAGGAAGAGTCAGAGAGCAGCAGTTGTGCTCTCACCGTCCCAGTATTTACACGGATTTACAACAGATTTATATTCATTATGAGCAGTAGTACTTATTTTCCTTAAATTGCATTTCACTGCCCCATACATAGTTACACTCAATTTATTTTACTCTGTTATAGTCAGCATTTCAGATTAATACAAGCAGACGAGGATGCCTGAGCCGTACAGACACCTTTTGCTGTGTGTATGGCAGTATACACCACGAATAAACATTAAGAGCATAAGAACATAAGAAAGAAGGAACACTGCAGCAGGCCTACTGGCCCATGCGAGGCAGGTCCAAGTCTCCTAAAGGCTTAAGCCAATGCCCCAACCTAGTCAGAGCAGGTCACATTCACTTAAGGAAGGAACACGACAACTGACCTAGTAACACAAGCTATTCAGGTCCATCTCACACCCACCCACACCCACTCATGTATTTATCTAACCTATTTTTAAAACTTCACAACGTTTTAGCCTCAACTCTATTACCAAGCCAGTGCTTTCCTGTATCCTTCCTGAATCTGAATTTTTCCAACTTAAAACCATTGCTACGAGTCCTGTCTAGGCTAGATATTTTCAGCACGTTATTTACATCCCTTTATTTATTCCTGTCTTCCATTTATACACCTCAATCATATCCC